GGAGGATTCGCTACCGATCTTGGTGAGGGAAACGGACGGAACGACGAGATCTGAGAGACTATCCAAGAACGGTAAGGTTGTTACCGAACCTCTTTTCGACGCTCGAAACTCATCGTGTGACTAAGCAAAAATCAAGAAAATAATATTGGCACGTAGGTTGATAGATGATCTATAACTTTGTTGAAGAAACCACCTCTGTTTGGGTTAAGAATCGAAAGATAGAAAATGGAAAGAAACCTCGGAAAAACTAATCGGAAGCCTTGATTTTCTGGTAGGAGGAGAGAGAAGCCGCCGGCGTACCACGCGTCAACCAACCAGAGGGCCGCGTGCGCCAATCGCCCCCGGACACGCGTCGAGCGCCGCCTGGGAAAACGCGGCTCCAGCGCTCCTGCGACACGCGTCCCTGGCTCCGCGACCCGACCCGCGCTCCTTGGCTGACCCGATACCCGCACGGCGAACCGAATCCAGTTGACGACCCGCGGTCCACCCGAATCACCGCTTCCGACCCGAACCCGCGACCCGCGACTGCAGGAATTTCTGGGCGCGTGACACTCGCGCGTGGAACCCGCGAGTGGCTGCTCCCCAGCGCGTGACTGGCGCGTGGAGGCGCGTGTAAGCTGTTTTTGGCCCGATCGGCTTCTGTTTTCCCTAGTTTCCCCTGATTCATATCCTAACTCCATTTGTTTGTATGAAATAGGACCTTATTGAGGAAAAATCACCCCCTCTCGTTACGCCAAGTGTGTGGAAACGCTGCGTAAGGGCACGTAGCATCCAAGTAAGTCGCCACACGGAATTTAGGAAGTAATACTTGTAGGAACCGCTTGGGATGCATGCATGCTAGTCTGAATATTTTAGGTTGTAGCTTTCCCGTAAATGTTCGTAGGAAATAGTTTATTGAACGTAAGATGTATGCTGTGATTTGTTATGAGAGTTACTTGGATACTGCTTATATGCTCTTAATTCCCACTTTATTTTATGCATATGTATATCTTTTTGCTGAATGGAGAATGGAAAATTTGCGAACTCTGTGCTCCGGGAATTGATGGATGTTATCACCCCGTCGAGCTTGTATGATTACTTTGCATGAAATATGTTTGAGGTTTTTGGATAATAGTTATGTACGTACTCGGTTATTTTTAGGGCCACCTTTATGAATAAGACTAGAAGACAATGGTTAGAGCGACAAACCATCAAGGGATCGACTTAACCTTTCCCTATTAGTTTATCAGACCATCACGGCACATGAAACATCCTTAGAGTACCCTTAAGCTACTTGTGTGTGGATGGTGATATAGCTTCGTGGGGGACCAGCGGGTTCCTGATCAGGACTCGACTGCTCGATAGCCGTTTAGTATGGGAAACGGGATACCCACGTCGTAATTGACCGTTTAGCTGGATGGAATAGGGGAGGTAGCCCTCCCAAATACAGGGGGATTATCATGGGTCTAGGGGGTTGCAGCTCACTTCCTAGGCAAGACCCCAGATAATCTCATACCCATGCCGAGGTAGCCACTCGTAAGGCACCAGTCCAACACAGGTTAGCATAAAAGGAACTCTATGGGTTTAAATAAAAGGTCTAGGAACCAAAGAGGACCAAAGGGATAAGTTCCAAGAGAGAAAGCCCTAATGAGGTAAGGCCCGATTTCAGTTGTTCTAGAGCCAAAGGAAAGCCCGTGATCGTCTGCTAAGTTTAGGGTGCGGTAAGAGCCTACAAGTAGGTGGCTTACTGAGTATAATTTTTATACTCATTCCCTTTATACTTTTTTTTTTCAGGTACGTGAGGCGTCGAGTCAAGAGAGGGCGCGTCGATCGATGTGGGTTGTCACAGAGGAAGCGTGTCCCGGGGCGTCAGTCTAGTTTACTAAATAGTACACTTTGTCTCACATGTTCCTTTCCTTGTTTTTCTTTTACCTAGGCACTTATGTCCTTCTAATAAAGATATGTTTTTCTTTTGAAACAAATGATTTCCTTGAATTTCTCGTTTATGCATTACATGTCATACAATGTTAGTCACGGCTTAATTTGGGGTCGTGACAGTTTCCCTCCAACGTGAACGATCATGTCACATTGCAAACATAGGGAACTTCCATCTATCTCACAGTAAAAGAAAGCTACATACAATTTCGAACACGAAAAATACATTGATTCTAGTTAATCATACCGTCCCGAAACATAATATATAACAGAGCGAACGAGTACCAAAAACAAAAGGAAGGACCTCCCTACCAGGTGCGTTCTCGCATATATCACAACGGGGAACGTCACTCGGACTTGCAAGGCCAACTCTTACATGTCGACTTGCGAGTTTATTGCACATATGGACCTATCATACAAGTTTGCAACATATTTGATATGATTTCAGCTTCAAGTTCAGTTCTTTTGTTTGAAACAAACATGAAAGTTTAGTTCTTCAGAAGGTAATCAATTTAGCATCAGCTATGCTTCAACGAAAGCCACAAGACTAGAGGTATGAACACCAAATGAAATGTCAAAGATTAATCAAATTATCATCCAAGCTGACAATCCTCGTGTTAAAAATCGAACAGAACTGCTAGAAGGCACTTGTTTTTATATAAACTCAATGAGAATGAGTGCTCGGGTTATGTGTAACAGCCCCACTGCTACTAGATATTGTCCTCTTTGGGCTTTCCCTTTCCGACTTCCCCTCAAGGTTTTAAAACACGTTAGTTAGGAAGAGGTTTTTCCACCGCTAGTAGATATTGTCCTCTTTGAACTTTCCCTTCTAGGCTTCCCCTCGAGGTTTTAAAACGCGTCCATTAGGAAGAGGTTTCCACACCCTTATAACGAATGTTTCGTTCCCCTCTCCAACCGATGTGTCGTTCCCCTCTCCAACCGATGTGGGATCTCACAATCCACCCCCTTGGGGGCCCAACGTCCTCGCTAGCACACCGCCCAGTGTCTAGCTTTGATACCATTTGTAACAACCCAAGCCCATCACTAGCAGATATTGTCCTCTTTGGACTTTCCCTTCCGGGCTTCCCCTCAAGGTTTTAAAACGCATCCGTTGGAGAGAGGTTTTTCACACCCTTATAAGGAATGTTTCATTCCCCTCTCCAACCGGTGCGGGATCTCACAAACCACCCCCCTTGGGGGCATAGCATCCTCGCTAGCACACCACCCAGTGTCTGGCTTTGATACCATTCGTAACAACCCAAGCCCATCACATCGCTCGCAGATATTGTCCTCTTTGGACTTTCCCTTCCAGGCTTCCCCTCAAGGTTTTAAAACACATCTGTTAGTGAGAGATTTGCACACCCTTATAAGGAATGTTACATTCCCCTCTCCAACCGAGGTGGGATCTCACATTACGCTTCATATTGATCATGTTTCAGCTGAGCAAAGCCACTTGGTGCGACAGTAAACACCAGCAATTTTCAACTTTAAACATGGATTTCAGAGAGATCAAATGCAATGCAGATATGGAGCATGATTCTTGCCAAATTGACAGCAACAAAAGCCTTCATCCAAAGCTTTCCATCACCCAAATGTAATGAAAATTTGCAAGAATCGCTAGGCCTAAAAGACACCTCAAGAACAAGATCCAGCAACATTACAACAATCAAATGCAAGCAGATATCCAACAGCCCATGATTTCAAAGACCCAATAATCCACGATTCAATTATCATCCCAAACAGAATAGAAATGAAGTAATGACAATCAAGATTAAGTAAGATCAACCCACAGAAACAAAATGGGCAAAAATCCAAGAGAACGACAAAGAAGGGGAAAAAGAGAATACCTTCTCGTCACAAGAGCGGCAAAGCGCGGCTTCGTCAGCAGCGCAAAAGACGATAGCAGCAGCGCTTTCACAAGCGTCACAAAGTGTTCTCATAATTGAAGCTCCCCACGCTCATTTCCTCGCCCAACAAAATCAACCGCACGCCACCAACAACGCCTTCATAACCCCCCTCCTCACCCACAAAACAAAACCCAAAAACAATTTTCCCCAAATAAACCAAACCCTTCAAACCAAACAAAAACACCCAAAATTCACAAACCAATATCAAGAACAACGACAAGTTCTTGAGGTTTCCTAGACCAGATGGGCTCGACGTTTGACAACGAAAACGATGATGGGGAATGGAATGACAAGGAAGAGAGAAAAAAAATTAAGAAATGGGGTTGGATTCGCGGGGCCTGAGGGGGTAAAAGGAGATTCGAGAACACAATCGGGCTACCAGAAACAATAATAAATGTGAAGAACAGCACATGGCAGCCAATGAAAAGGGCAAAATGGTATGGATTTACTGTTTTTGAAGAGGAGCCCTTATTTTTGAAATTACCATAACTCAGAGCTCAGTCCATGGCCACAAGTTTTGTTAGGGAGAAATGAATGGGCGTCTCGGATGATTCTCATCCACCAATTACATATCTGACGCGGGGCCCAACCAAATTTTTGTCCGTATATTATATTGCAGAAATAAGGTGTGTGTTTGAAGATTGGATACAAATGGGCGGTTGAGATGGGGTTTGGTAATTCTTCATCTTTTCTCTCTAATATCTTCTACTCTGCACGTGGCGCCCCATTCATCTTCAACCTTTCTTGTTTGTGGTTCATACCCATCCCACTCTAATCTTTCTCTTTTCATCTCCTTAGGTTGGATTGGATAATCGTCTCGATCTACGAAGTTTTCGAGACGATTAGATGATAATGGAGTAAATCCATAAAAGTTCATGTCAAAAATGCATAATACTGTAACTTTCAACCTGCATGAGAAGGGAATCACAGACGACTGTCTGGATAGTGTGGTAGTTACAACCACTCTAGACTGTTGGAGCTTAAAATAGCTCCAGCATTGGCTACACTGACAAAGTTATGTTCTCGTTCATTAGGGTGACTATTGATAGAAGAATCGTTCAGTAAAATATAGGTCGGGATCACTGTTACGAGACCCTAACGACCTTTTAATTTCAATAAATAATATATAATTGAGACAAAATTGCTTAAAATAATAATAATAATAATAATAATAATAAATTATAATTTCGGAAGGGAGTGCCCATGGAATGATTTTCATTGTGCCCGACAGGCCCATTATCTTGTGGCCCAATTCAGAATGTATAAGGGCCCAGACATTAAAACATTCGGCCTCTTTTTGGTCGTTATTTCACCGACGTCATCCCTTCTAACAGCTCAAATCTACTGCTAGTAAATATTTTTTCGATTTGAAAACACGTCTGTTAAGGAGGAGTTTCCACACTCCTCTTCACACTCTTATAAGAAATGTTTCGTTATCTTCTCTATTCTACGTCCAGATTGTTTCGTCCACTTCTCCGATCAATATGGGATCTCACAATTCATTGCGCTCTTAGGAGCCCAACGTCCACGTTGGAACACCATATTGTCCCACACGGTTTTAAAACGCATCTATTAAGGAAAGGTTTTTGTTTCGTTCTTCTCTCCCTATCCTTATAAGAATATTTCGTTATCTTCTTTGTTTCACACCCTTGTAAGAAATGTTTCGCGAGATCTCACAATTCACTCTCTTGGGAACCTAACACCACTCAATGTTTGGCTTTGATACTGTTTGTAACATCTCAAGCTCATTGCTAGCAGATATTGTTCATTTTAGTCAATTACGTATCTCAAGGTTTTAAAGCACGTCTGTTAGGGGAAGGTTTCCACCTAACACCACTCAGTGTCTGGCTCTAATACTATGCAACATCTCAAGCTTACCGCTAGCAGATATTGTTCATTTTGGCCAATTACGTATCTCAAGGCTTTAAAACACGTCTGATAGGGGGAAGATTTTCACACCCTTATAAATGTGGGACATCACAATCCACCCCCTTTCGGGGGCCAGTGTCCTCGCTGACACTCGTTCCTTTCTCCAATCAATGTGAGACCCCCACCAAATTCACCTCTTTGGGGTCCAGCGTCCTTACTAGCACATCGTCTAGTGTTTAGTTCTGATACCATTTGTAACGATCCAGATACACCGCTACTAGATATTATCTTTTTTGGACTTTCCCTCGAGACTTTAAAACGCGTCTGCTGGAAAAATGTTTTCGCACCCTTATAAATAGTGTTCTGTTCTTCTCCCAATCAATATAGGACATCACAGTATAAATGAAAAAACATAACATGCATGATAATATAAAATTAAAATTCCTAAAAAAAGAAAAAATTCGAATTTCAACTTTCATAGAATCAAATTTTGTCGGCAATGATTGAAAAAAAAAAAAAGAAAAAATAACGACAAAATAAATAATAAATTAAATGTCGAGGATGGTGGTGGGGCATGTGCAGGTCATAGCGGCGTGTACACATGCATGAGGTGGCCGGGCCCCATTTTTTCCTTTTTTTTTTTTTTTTTCTCTTTAGAGTTAAATTAAATAATTTTTTTAAATTTCAACCGTACAAGTTTAATTTTGTCTCTTATTATTATTTTTTTCAAAAATAATTTTAACTTTTAAAATATTTGTTTAAAATATTATAATTAAAAGATTAAATATATGTTCTAAATATATAATTTTACTATTTAATAAATATTTATTAGACACGTTTAAAGTTAAATAGTTTATTAAAAATAAAATAAATATTTTCGAGATTTATTAGACGTATATACTTGAAAATTAGCCAAAAACCATTGAAACTCAAAAAGCCCAAAGAGATAGACTAGCATACCTGTGATTAGACTCGCGTGAGAAACAACTCAAGAGAAAGAGCCAAAGTGTGAGATCCATATCGGTGTGGAACTCTCTCCTTAATAGACGCATTTTAAAACCGTGATATTGCGACGATACGTAACGGGTTAAAGAGTCAAAGACCTAACCTTAGTTAGGCTCACCCAAGAGAGAGGCAATCCCGTGTGGTTAGGCTGGGGTGAAAAATAACTCGAGGGAGAGAGCCAAATAACTAGTTCAGCTCGCCCAAACAAGGCTCTGATTGTTTTATGACCATTACTTGTCTAACGGAAAGCATGTTGAACCCTACGATCAGGCTGGTGTAGAAAATAACTCGAGAGAGAGAGAGAGAGAGCCAAAGAATCGGGTTAGGTCGCCCTACGACCATTACTCGTCTAACCCGAGGCAATAAAAAAGGGCAAAGCACGTGGGTTGTGTTGCTTCAACTCACTTCTTTTCTTCCCTTTTTATGGTCAAAGTTGTGCCCACTCTTTCCATTCCAAACCCTACAATTGCTTGCCTTTTTCTTTGCCTCCCAATATGGAGGAAAATCTATTTAAGGCTTTATTTATTTATTATTATTATTATTTATTTATTTAATAATTGTTGTAATAAAAATGTCAAATAAATGGAGCAAAAACAATCATATATATATATATATATAAAATGTAGGACATCTATCGGACTAATTTAAACCTTTTGAATAAGACAACAGGTCCCACAGTCAAATTATTATTTACCTATCCTAAGAAATTCGAATAATTGCTTCAAATGTAGTATCGAGAAGTATCGAGAGTGGAACCCGATGTCTAGAGGCTCATTAGAATATGACTGGGTGCTTCTCGTGAATTCAAACAATTGCTTCATATATGATAACGAGAAGTACTGGGTGTGGACTTTGATATCTACAGGCTTATTAGAATGATATCAGTTGCTTCTTGTGAATTCGAACAATTGCTTCAAATATAGTATCGAGAAGTACCGGGTGTAGTCTACGAGCTTATTAGAATACGACCGGGTGCTTTTTGTGAATTCGAACAATTGCTTCAAATATAGTATCGAAAAGTACTGGACGTGGAACTTGATATCTACATACTTATTAGAATGCTACCGGTTGCTTCTCGTGAATTCGAACAATTGCTTCAAATATAGTATCGAGAAGTACCGGGTGTGGAATCGATGTCTACAGACTTATTAGAATATGACTGGGTGCTTCTCGTGAATTCGAACAATTACTTCAAATAGTATCGAAAAGTATTGGGTGTAGAACTTGATATCTATAGGCTTATTAGAATGATATCGGTTGCTTCTCGTAAATTCGAACAATTATTTCAAATATAGTATCGAGAAGTACTGGGTGTGGAACTCGATGTCTACGGGCTTATTAGAATACGATTGGGTGCTCCTTGTGAATTCAAACAATTGCTTCAAATATAGCATCGAGAAGTATCGGGTGTGGAACTCGATGTCTAAGGGCTTATTAGAATACGACCGGATGCTTCTCGTGAATTCGAATAATTGCTTCAAATATAGTATCGAAAAGCACCGGGTGTGGAACTAGATGTCTACGAGCTTATTAGAATACGACCAGGTAGTGAAGGGTAAAATGGTAAATTGAGAAAAAGCAAGCAACTGAAATGAACCCTTTGGCGCGGCAGTTTTAAATGGAAAGGCAAATAAAAACATAATTTTACGAGCGAAAGTTGCAGATTAACACCTAACCCGGGAAGTCGACGCCATAACCATTCCAACGCCGTCTCTTTCTTCCTCTCATCTCCACCTCATAACGCAGACCCACTGTGATATCCAGATCCAGAACACACGGTCAGAGAAAAACGGAAGACAGAGACTGCTTCCATTCTCGCTCAGACCTCTTTTTCAGTGCCTGTAACAGTTCCAGTACCCCACAGCTTGTGATCTTCCTTCTCTGGATTCCACGTTCTTTCAGTTCAGTTTTCACTCGACTTATACTGTTTTTCAATTCCTGTTTTTATTTTTCTCTACTTGTTGCATGATTCTAGCTGGAATTCGGTTTTCTGTTCTTGTTTAGCCTAGTTTCTATGTTTCTGCTTTGGATTTGTAACAGAGGATCGGTTTGGTGTAAATTTCTGGACGGAAGTTTCTATCTACTCAACTATTTGCTCCGTTTCTTCTGTCTACGTTGAAATGGTCAAGTTTGACTTCACGGTTTTCGATTTGTTTTCAATTGCGTTAGTGTAGGTATGCGGCATTGCATGATCTTTGATTCTTATCTCTGTTTCGTTCTGGCCATCCGCATTCGGTTTAGCTGGAAATTTGTGGAATATTTCGTTGTTTTTACCTATATTCTGGTAACGCTGTTTCTGTTTTCGCGGAAAATTCGTTATGGTTTTTCTTTCTTATTTTTGAATTCTGTTGTGGTTTTGTTATTAGCGTCGACATTGAGATAAATTTAGGATAAATTTGGGATAACCTGTGAAACAGCTAGAAGAGGAGAAACCAAGTTCCAATCGTATTTACGGGAATCGAAGCTGGAACTTCCTCTGCCTCCAGATCGTAACGAGTATTATCGTGGTTGTGAAGATTTTTTTTGGAGGCCACAAACATTCCTTGAGGTTGATTGTAGAATATTCGAAGCTGAGATTAAAGGTGGTTTACAATTATCATATGATTTGGAAAACGATTTAAAATGAATGGGGGAGACTCGAAGTCGTTGACAGTCTGTTAACATGGAC